AGCAGGAGATCAGAAGGTCCACAAGACGGAGAAACCCTCCTGGCTATTTCAAAGACTATGTCATGTCTTAGTTGGACATTTAGTAAGAACAATATCCTTGAGTGATGACTTTAGCTTTCCTTTAAAGGGGAAGACGTGACGAACTATGCATACCTGTAATTAGGTGTGACTATGATTGTTGTTATTTTCGTAAGTGCACATGCACATATGTGGCATTTAAGATGCAGTCTTGTAATTTATGCATCTTGCGGTCAGTTTCGCAATGTAATGGCTAGCGCTGTTTGTGCGCCATTAAAGACAACATTTTACCGTTATCTCTCGTTACAGTCCCCATGTTCGTTTAGGAGCAACAGCACCTTGTTTATACCCATATAAATCGTTATAATAGCATCATGATTGTAGTCACGATTGCTTGCTAAATTCACGTTTCCGACGATTGCTTTTTGTTCTACTCTGAGAATTGGTCCATATTTATTTTNGAATTGGTCCATATTTATTTTACACGGAGAAATTTATTACTCAATTCAAAACAACAGAAAAAAATGATAGGTTACCATACTCGTTTGTGAGAAAATGACGATTTTCCTCTATGGTGAGGTCCAGCTGTAAAGAAAAAAGCGCCATTTTTTAATGTGCGCACGCTAATCACTCGTGAAATTATGCACAGTAGGGATGCGCAATGCAATACTGGGGAATGACCTTAACTCGTTTTGTGTGAGAGTGACAAAAACTCAAATTTATTTCCAAGTGTTTACATGTACTTCACTTAACTTTTCGTCGTCTATTATTGTAGTCATTAATTGCCTACATAGCCTTGCTGAGAAATGCAACATTGGTGACAACTATTACAAAATAAAGTGAAAACTAACCTGATCATGGTATTGTTGTGGCAAAACAAACTGATATTGGCGAAATGGTATTCGCAATTACTAACGCAAAATTTACGGTAACCTTTGTCAAATAAAAGTGTTGGCTAGTGGTGAAGTTATTTTTCGATGATGGGAGGTCATCTAGGTAAAGGTAACATTGGTAGGAGTAACTGTCAATTTTAAACCTTAAGATCAAAGAAATAATTGACTTAATTCTTAATTTTTTTAAACTGTGAAATGCAACATAACAACTTGTGTAAATCAATGGAGTCAAAACTAACATCACGGTATCTCGCAACTCTATTTATCACACAAAAATTTACGGTCACAGTTAGATGTGTAAAAACTGTTGGCTAGCTACATGTACTCCTGGCTAGCTACAGCTGACAATAATGAGAGGTCATTTAGGTAAAGGTAACATTGGTGATTATATTGGTAGGAGTAACCGTAAATTTCAAACCTTTACACAAAACAATTACTTGACTCAGTTCTTCTTCGTCCATTTGGTCCACATTGTTCACATTAGTATTAGTACTGATGTTGTCTACGATTGCCTGGATACAGGGTGTGAACAATGTGTACCATGAAGTTTGACCATCTCCTTCAATAGAAATTCTTGCTACTGTGTTCTTTGTTCTTCTGTCTTTCAAAAAATGGCAGTTGCAATTGGTACACTTTAGCACTGGCAACTCTTGGCGTGATTGAACCTTTTTCTTGCAACTGACGCAAGTGAAACACTTCAGGATTTCAATGGTGAGCACTTGGTCACAGAGAACTTCAGCTTCTTGCAATTGACATTTGAGAGTCTCTTTCACTTGTTGAATGGCTTGTGGTTGCAGTTGACCAAGTTGATGTTTGGAAGGTAGTAGTTTGGTTTCGGTAGTTGAGGACAAGTACTTTTGGCGATTGTATTGTCCTCCGCGGATGTTTTGTATTTCATAGTGCTGGCCATCTCAAGCAGTGTTTATTTGCCCCCTCCTATTGGGGCACTCTGGTGAAATTTAGGGGCTCTTTTATGCAAAAAGAAACAACCATTAAAGAGAAAAAAATTGTACATGCGTAGGCATTTTGTTATCTACCATCCCCTGATATTGGTATTATATATCATATTATTTTATTTCTAAATATGAATGCAAAGAAAAATATATTTGACACAGGATGTTGAATATGGGAATATAAGACAGATGGTCTCCTAGG